ACATAGTAGCGTCTCTTCAAAAGGCAGGAATTTGTGAATTGCAAGTAAGCGCTTAGAAACAGTTTATCACTTTCAGAAAGAAAGATTTATTACTAAAAGAGTCAAACAGGTGCAATAAAATATTTACAAAGAAGATGTAACGAAGATATATATATATACATAGAAAACAGCACAGCAAAGAGATAACAGGGAGAAGTTCAAAGGTTAAGTTACTTGCCATTTTAAGCCTTTGAGGTAAGCAGATCCAAGTTGCAGAGCGAAAGGGTAATTGATCTCCTGCTGTTACGATGGAAAGATAGGAGAGGTCTTCAACTTTTCTTTCTAGGCCTACTAGCCTGTGTTTTAAAGTTCCCAGGAAGGGGGGTGGCTCTGAGTAACTGGCCAATACTTTGTTTAGGGCGGGATCATCGGGCGGACTCTGAATTAAAACCAACAGCTTCATAATCCATGATATGAAACATAGGGGACAAACTGACTGAGGAATGTTCATTTAATTCTGTCACTTCTGCTGTTATGTTTTATGAGGTTACAGTCTCTTTCAACTCCTGGGAGAAGCTGCCTTATCTCTGTTAGGAGGTGCGAGTTTACACAGGCTGCCAGTGACTTTTAACACACACACATCTGTCACTGTGTCTCTCAGGAAGGGAGGGGGAAGGAGAATAAAGGATAAATTAATACTTTTAATAAAAAGGGGGACTCTGCGTCCATCTCTGATGAACAAGTTTGCTACATCCCACAGTACACAGAACATGGTAATGCAATTATTTTAATAAATATAAACTGCTAAATATCTTTTCTTAACAGCAGTATATACAGTATCTCACAGAAGTGAGGTACACCCCTAACATTTTTATAAATATTTTATTATATCCTTTCATGTGACAACACTTTGTTGCAATGTAAAGTAGTGAGTGTACAGCTTGTATAACAATGTAAATTTGCTGTCCTCTCAAAATAACTCAACACACATCCATTAATGTCTAAACCGCTGGCAATAAAAGTGAGTACACCCTGAAGTGAAAATGTCCACATTGAGCCCAAATTGTCAATATTTTGTGTGGCCACCTTTATTTCCCAGCACTGCCTTAACCCTCTTGGGCATGGAATTCACCAGAGCTTTGCAGGTTGCCACTGGAGTCCTCTTCCACTCCTCCATGACGACATCACGGAGTTGGTGGATGTTAGAGACCTTGCGCTCCTCCACCTTCCGTTTGAGGGTGTCCCACAGATGCTCAATAGGGTTTTGGTCTGGAGACATGCTTGGCCAGTCCATCACCTTTACCCTCAGCTTCTTTAGCAAGGCAGTGGTCATCTTGGAGGTGTGTTTGGGGTCGTTATGTTGGAATACTGCCCTGCAGCCCAGTCTCCGAAGAAAGGGGATCATGCTCTGCTTCAGTATGCCACATTACTTGTTGGCATTCATGGTTCCATCAATGAACTGTAGCTCCCCAGTGCAGGCAGCACTCATGCAGCCCCAGACCATGACACTCCCACCACCATGCATGACTGTAAGCAAGACACACTTGTCTTTGTACTCCTCACCTGGTTGCTGCTACACATGCTTGACACCATCTGAACCAAATAAGTTTATCTTGGTCTCATCAGAACACAGGACATGGTTCCAGTAATCCATGTCCTTAGTCTGCTTGTCTGCAGCAAACTGTTTTCTTGTGCATCATCTTTAGAAGAGGCTTCTTTCTGGGGTGACAGCCATGCAGACCAATTTGATGCAGTGTGCGGAGTATGTTCTGAGCACTGAAAGGCTGACCCCCACCCCTTCGACCTCTGCAGCAATGCTAGCAGCACTCATATGTCTATTTCCTAAAGACAACCTCTGGATAAGATGCTGAGCACGTGCACTCAACTTCTTTGGTCGACCATGGCGAGGCCTGTTCTGAGTGGAACCTATCCTGTTAAACCGATGTATGGTCTTGGCCCCCGTGCTGCAGCTAGTTTCAGAGTCTTGGCAATCTTCTTATAGCCTAGGCCATCTTTATGTAGAGCAACAATTCTTTTTTTCAGATCCTCAGAGACTTTTGCCATGAGGTGCGATGTTGAACTTCCAGTGACCAGTATGAGAGTGTGAAAGCGATAACACCAAATTTAACACACCTGCTCCCCATTCACACCTGAGACCTTGTATCACTAACGAGTCACATGACACCGGAGAGGGAAAATGGCTAATTGGGCCCAATTTGGACATTTTCACTTAGGAGTGTACTCACTTTTATTGCCAGCAGTTTAGACATGAATGGCTGTGTGTTGAGTTATTTTGAGGGGACAGCAAATTTACACTGTTATACAAGCTGTACACGCACTACTTTACATTGTAGCAAAGTGTCATTTCTTCAGTGTTGTTACATGAAAAGATATAATAAAATATTTACAAAAATGTACTCACTTCTGGTAGATACTGTAGCAGTCTTCTGACTTCTATCAGTATCCAGCAAAGCATTGGTTAAAGCTTGCAGAAGGAGTTTTCTTTCTGCTCTAGGAGGATGCAGAACCCCTGAACTCTGTCTGGAATGTCTGTACAGTGCTGATTGGCTGATTACATGCACCCTCCCCCCCAAAAAAAAAACCTCTCTAGAAATGCACACCAAACTGAGCATGTGCAGAATGGCTACGGGTTCAGTCTGTCTTATCAGGAGATAAGACATGGAAATCTGAACAAGAGGAGGAGCAGAAAAGACGGGATTAAACAGCCTTTTTACACAATGTGGAGCATTGACCTCTTAGGTTCCACAGTGAGTATAACAAGCATGCTTTTACTGATTTTACTGTTGTGAGTTAGAAACACTTTAAATTTCATTTTTACAAAACCTATGCAGGCTGCTAGAGAATCCATGGCGATCTCCTTTGAAGGATATTCTTATCAGATTTTCACTGATCTTTCTCAGACCACCATACTTACAAGGTGTTCCATGAAGCCACTCCTACAGGTGTTACAGGACCATTCAATCAGTTACCGATGGGGGTTCCCCTTCAAACTGTCCTTAAACTAACAGGGTCTGTGACGGGAGTCACTTTGGGTGGGGGGGCCTATGGAACCCAGCTCACTTTGGAGAGGTGGAGAGACCCCTCTCTCAGCTCCCCATATCCCTCTTACGTGTAAGTCACCCTGTGCCTGTTAGGGGTACAGGGTGATCTGTCCTAATATTGTGTAGACATGTCTAGGAGATAGGTGGGGGTTCTGGATTGTTTGGTGTTGCGTGGCTGCATCCCATTGTTCTATTGGTGACCAGAGGTGTGTGGCTGACGCAGGGAAACGCAGACCTCAGATATGTTATAAAAACAATATAATTTATTAACACTAACAATACAAACATAAACGCAGTGCAATACTAAAACATAATACAGTGCAACCAAAAACCAACCACCCACAGATAACAGTACATACAAGCAAGCGTCGTCAGGCAGGCCGGGTCAATATCAATAGGGCAGGTAGGTACAGGGGGAGCAAGCGGAGATTGGTCGGGGTCACAGGCCAGGTTCAGCAGGTAGCAAGCAGCGTAGTACAGAGGGTCAGGCAGAGGGATGGTCAGGGTCACAAGCCAGGGATCAGAACAGGTAGCAAGCAGCGTGGTACAGAGGGTCAGGCAGAGGGATGGTCAGGAGCGAGCCGGGGGATCAGAGCAGGAGAAGTCAGCAGCGGTTCAGAAACAGGATGCAGGACAGAAACAGGATACAGGGCCCAGGACAAACACAACACCAAGGCAGAGTCTGTGGGTCTGGCCATCCCTTAAATACCCCAGCATAATCAGTTCCAGGTGTTAGCTGGCTGCAAAGTTGAGTCTCTGATTGCTGGGAGCATCCGCTGGCCAGCCCTGGTACTGCAGATCAAAAGGCAGGTGAGTCCCACCATTGCTGGCCAGTCCATTCCTGACAGTACCCCCCCCCCCTCAAGGAGCGGCCTCAGGACGCTCCAAACAGTCCTAGCTGGGAAAAATGTTCCACCGCCCGGGTCTGGTAACTGGCGGGATATCAAAGACTGGCACACCGGGCAGGACTCCGGGCAGGCACAAGGCACACCGGGCAGAGGCACACATCGGGCTGGACTCCGGGCAGAGGCACACCGGGCTGGACTCCGGGCAGAGGCACACCGGGCTGGACTCCGGGCAGAGGCACACGGGCTGGACTCCGGGCAGAGGCACATCGGGCTGGACTCGGGCAGAGGCACACCGGGCTGGACTCCGGGCAGAGGCACACCGGGCTGGACTCCGGGCAGAGGCACACCGGGCTGGACTCCGGGCAGAGGCACATCGGGCTGGACTCCGGGCAGAGGCACATCGGGCTGGACTCCGGGCAGAGGCACATCGGGCTGGACTCCGGGCAGAGGCACATCGGGCTGGACTCCGGGCAGAGGCACATCGGGCTGGACTCCGGGCAGAGGCACATCGGGCTACCAGGCGAAGCAGCAGGCATCGGGCCCCCAGGCGGGGCGACAGGCATCGGGCCCCCAGGCGGAGCTACAGGTCTCGGGCCCTCGGGGGGCGGCCATCGCGGCGGGCGACAGGCGCCGGACCCCCAGATGGAGCGACAGGTCTCGGGCCCCAGGCGGAGCGGCGGGCGCCGGACCCCCAGATGGAGCGACAGGTCTGGCCCCCCAGGCGGAGCAACAGGTCTCAGGCCCCCAGAGGACAGGGCTCGGGCACCAGGCAGGCTCGGGGGCCGACAGTGGGCACCGGTCTCGGCCCTCAGGGCAAGCTGCGGGCACCGGACCCCCAACTGGCGGAACACAGGGCACCGGCCCTCAGGCGGACTGCGGCGGGTCGTCGGACCCCCAGAGAGCGACAGGTCTCGGGCCCTCAGGCGGAGCGGGCACCGAGTCGTCTGGGACCCTGCGGGCGGGAGTCTGGCAGACTGCGGCGCCGGCCCTCTGGCGGACTGCGGGCACCGAGTCGTCTGGCAAGACTGCGGGCACCGGACCCCCAGGTCTGGCAAGACTGCGGGCCCCGAGGCTGGCAAAGCTGCGGGCACCGAGTCCCCTGGCAAGACTGCGGGCACCGAGTCGTCTGGGGACTGCGGGCACCGAGTCGTCTGGCAAGACTGCGGGCACCGAGTCGTCTGGCAAGACTGCGGGCACCGAGTCGTCTGGCAAGACTGCGGGCACCGAGTCGTCTGGCAAGACTGCGGGCACCGAGTCGTCTGGCAAGACTCGGCACCGAGTCGTCTGGCAAGACTGCGGGCACCGAGTCGTCTGGCAAGACTCCGGGCACCGAGTCGTCTGGCAAGACTGCGGGCACCGAGTCGTCTGGCAAGACTGCGGGCACCGAGTCGTCTGGCAAGACTGCGGGCACCGAGTCGTCTGGCAAGACTGCGGGCACCGAGTCGTCTGGCGGACAGCGGGCACCGAGTCGTCTGGCAAGACTGCGGGCACCGAGTCGTCTGGCGGAACAGCGGGCACCGAGTCGTCTGGCAAGACAGCGGGCTCCGAGTCAACAGGCACAGGGCACGAGTGGGCACAGTGGGCACCGGGTCATCAGGTATCGGATTGTCTGGCTCGACAGCGGGCATCGGGTCACCAGGTATGACAGCGGGCACTGGGTCACCAGGCATCAGGTCATTTGGCTTGCCAGCGGGCACCGCGTCATCTGGCAAGGCAGTGGGCACCGGGTCACCAGGTATGACAGCGGGCTCTGAGTCAATTGGCACGACAGCGGGCACTGGATCAGGTACCGGGATCATCTGGATCAACAGCGGGCATCGAGTCAACTGGCCTAATAGGATCGTCGGGCTGGATCAGTTCATCATGCTGAGCGGCATCAGGCTGAATGCAGCGGCATCAGGCTGAATGCAGCTTCATCAGGCTGAATGCAGGCTTCAGGCTGATAGAGGCTTCAGGCTGAGTAGAGGCATCAGGCTGAGTAGAGGCATCAGGCTGAGTAGAGGCATCAGGCTCAGGCTGAGTAGAGGCATCAGGCTGAGAGAGGCATCAGGCTGAGAGAGGCATCAGGCTGAAGAGAGGCATCAGGCTGAAGAGAGGCATCAGGCTGAAGAGAGGCATCAGGCTGAAGAGAGGCATCAGGCTGAAGAGAGGCATCAGGCTGAAGAGAGGCATCAGGCTGAAGAGAGGCTTCAGGCTGAAGAGAGGCTTCAGGCTGAGTAGAGGCTTCAGGCTGAGTAGAGGCTTCAGGCTGAGTAGAGGCTTCAGGCTGAGTAGAGGCTTCAGGCTGAGTAGAGGCTTCAGGCTGAGAGGCTTCAGGCTGAGTCACGGAAGGCAGGTTCACCGGTTTGGATACTGGCAGGATGGTATTGGTTGGAAAGAATTTTCGCTTTTTTTCTGGTTTTAACTACTGGAGCACTGCAAGTAAACGCAGGTCTGCAAACGAATGGAGCAGCTGGAGACAGAGAAAAACTGGAGGATGGAACAGGAGAGGGAGCAGTTGCTACAGAGGGCTTTTTTACAGGGTTAAAGGCAGGATAGGTGCAGCGAGTGGGAACAGGGTACTGACATGCGGTAGATAGCCAAGTATACTGGGCTGTAACTGGAGGAGCTGGTGGGAATACAGGAGTAGAGTTAGAAGCAGGACTGGGTTTTTGTAAGCTGACTGAGGCTGGGTGCAACAAGTCTGTCCATGTCTGCAGTAGGGGTTGAACAAAGCTGAGCTTACACAAAGCCTGTCTGGTCAATGACTGCACTGCGTTTATACAATCTCTTAGTGTCTGTGGTGAACATGTGGAATAACGCTCCAGAAAGTAACCCACATCATCCTCTAATAACCACACCAGGGACTCTACCTGGTCTGCACTAAATGGTGGCAAAAATTCATCCCTGCATTCGGGGGAACCAGATGAAACCAACTCAGCACAAACCTCAATCAAAGGCTGCACCTCAGAGAACTCTGTGCCCTGATCTACTAGAACATGAGCGAGCCGTATACATTCTAGTAGTTGATCCCTGGGATACTCCTTCAGAGTTTGATAAGCATACTCCCTGTCATCAAACACTAGCAGATATAAATACACAACCTCATCCAGATCCATCCTTCCCAGCAACAAGCCAAGATGGCTTCCCTGTGCAGCCACTTCTGGTCAGGATTGGCCTTGGTGTAATGTCAGGGCTCCCAGGTGTGACCAGAGGTGTGTGGCTGACGCAGGGAAACGCAGACCTCAGATATGTTATAAACAATATAATTTATTAACACTAACAATACAAACATAAACGCAGTGCAATACTAAAACATAATACAGTGCAACCAAACCAAACCAACCACCCCCACAGATAACAGTACATACAAGCAAGCGTCGTCAGGCAGGCCGGGTCAATATCAATAGGGCAGGTAGGTACAGGGGGAGCAAGCGGAGATTGGTCGGGGTCACAGGCCAGGTTCAGCAGGTAGCAAGCAGCGTAGTACAGAGGGTCAGGCAGAGGGATGGTCAGGGTCACAAGCCAGGGATCAGAACAGGTAGCAAGCAGCGTGGTACAGAGGGTCAGGCAGAGGGATGGTCAGGAGCGAGCCGGGATCAGAGCAGGAGAAGTCAGCAGCGGTTCAGAAACAGGATGCAGGACAGAAACAGGATACAGGGCCCAGGACAAACACAACACCAAGGCAGAGTCTGTGGGTCTGGCCATCCCTTAAATACCCCAGCATAATCAGTTCCAGGTGTTAGCTGGCTGCAAAGTTGAGTCTCTGATTGCTGGGAGCATCCCCTGACAGGGACCATCAAGAGCAGCTTCAGCTTTCGAAGGTGGTCAGCCTGTGAGATGATCTTCATTGGCTCAAAATCATCTTCCAAGAGGTGAACGGTATTGCTCCGCCCTGTGACATTATGCAGGGTGGGGGGACTGTCCCTTTAGTGTATATTTCTTGTATCTGTGTTGAAATAAAGTAGTCTACCTCCTGGTTTACTTCAAATCTGGTGTTGTCTGGATTTTGGGGTAACAATAGCCAGAGTCACTGGTCTCCTGTTCCAGAGCCTGAGAAGCAGCTTCTTGATGGAGATACCCAGTTGTGGGTGTCTGGGTCTGTTACAGGGTCCCAATAAGATGAAAGCAACCTTGAGGAACTTAAAAAATGCCTTGCCGATCTCAATCTCCTTCCACATTCTCAACCACCCTTGCGAGCTTTGACTGTGAATTCTCTTACTCATCAACTTCAACCATCTCAGAGCCCTCAACCTTCCTTGGATCACAAAGAGGACAGCCCACAAGATGCAGAGCTCCTCCCATGGGACAGAGAATAAAATACGGTCCTCCAGGCTCTATCCTCAGTAAACCACAAGTACCAAAGGACAGATCTGAAAAACATAACACAACATAGCATAGCATAATGCATCAGGCGGGGATCTGGCTGTCCTGGAATACTCCTGGAAATAGAGTTACCGGTAAGTCTAACTCCATTTTTCCCATGTCGTCTTCCAGGACAGCCCACGAGATAAGCAAGAACTTGCCAACCTAGGGTGGGACCACCGCCTGGAGGACCTTACGCCCAAATATTTGATCCCGACTATTCAGGAGATCCACCAGGTAGTGCGTAATGAATGTCGAGAAGCTCGACCAAGTAGCCACCTTGCAAATTTGATCCGTGGAAGCACCAGCTCTCTGCCCAGGACGTGGATAAGGCCCTAGTAGAATGTGCATTAATGAAAAGAACTGATAGCCCCTTGGTTTGGCAGCAGCAAGAAATGGCTTCCTTGATCCATCTGGCAACAGTTGGCTTAGAGACATGAAAATCTCGATGTTTGCCAGAAAAAGAGGATAAATAGAGCGTCAGACCTTCTGAATTGTTTGGATACAGCTAAATAATGCAAGAGACATTTCCTTACATCCAACAAACTGAAATTATCTTTCTTTTTATTGGAGGCAGAGGCACAGAAGGAAAGTAGCACAATGTCTTGTGACCTGTGAAAAGTCGTGGTTACCTTCGGTAAAAAACCCGGGTCTGTTTTCAGAATAATCCTGTCATCAAAAACCAGCAAAAATGATTCTCTGATTGATAGAGCTTGCAGCTCACTTATTCTACGAGCCGTAGTGATGGCCACCAAAAAAACTGTCTTCCACGTAAGCAGTTTAATGGAAGCTTCCGTCAAAGGTTCAAATGGATTGGATGTCAACACCTGTAAAACTAATGAAAGATCCCCAAGAAGGGCAGCAAGGGAAGATTCCTTCTTTATCCTTTCCTTTGTTGCCTGCCCAATGTTTCCTTGGCCTGTCCTCTTTACCTTGTTCAGTTTGCTGCCTTTGACCATGAAAAAGTAGCCTAAAACCAGGCATTCTTTTCTTTTCTGGGAAGGCCTTCTTTGTTTCAGCCGTGCACTCTAACGCCTCCTGCAACCTGGGACCAAATAGGTTATCTCCCGTAAAGGGCAGCGCACACAATCAAGCCTTGGAGGCAGAATCACTGGACCACGTTTTAAGCCAAAGTGATCTCCTAGCGGAATTAACTAGAGCTGATGATCTAGCTGGCATTCTTATTTTTTCTGCAGAAGAGTCTGAGAGAAACCAAACAGCTTTAAAGAGCATAGGGAAAGATTTTAAAATCTCTTCTCTGGATGTTCCCCCACTCAGGTGAGACTTCAGATGAGACAGCCAGAAGTTCAAATTTCTGGCTACACAGGTAGAAGCAAGGGCTGGTTTGAGACTATTAATGGTAGAATCCCAAGCCCTTCTGAGGAAGACTTCCCCCTTCTTGTCCACAGTGACGCTCAGGACTCCCATGTCCTCGAACACAAGGTCAGACTTTTTAGAAACTTTAGATAAGGGAGCATCTAATTTAGGCTCCTTATTCCAGGGATGCTCAATCCCATCCTCAAAGAGGAACCTTCTTTTGAGACTGTTGGAGAAAAAAGGCTTACATTCTGGTTCTTTCCATTCCAATTTAATACCCTCGTTCAGGGATTTATGGACAGGAAAAACGCAACGCTTTTTACCTTGAAGACCCTCGTATATTAAGTCATGTCTGGAGAGCTGGACCCTGTGTTCTTCTATTTCTAACGTTTCGTAAATGGCTTTCAGCAAGTTATCTACTTCCTCCAGAGAGCTTGTATCTCGATGACCTAGGACCCAAGATCTCTCCCTCCTCTTCCTCTGAACAACTTCCCCTATCCTCGCTTTCACAGGATGATGAGTTCACCTCCAAAGGTCTATCTAGGACCTCCCGCCTGAAATTAAACGGGCATATGGGTCTTGGCTGTGGAACGGCCACCTCCTCTAAGGAAGGGGGAGGTAAGGCAGGATTTTTCAAATTCTCCAACAGAGTCTTGAAGGAACTGATTGTGGTTACCAACTCATTCTTTACTGATGCCAGCAATTTGACACAAGCTGAGCTGGAGTCCTCCTTGACAAGATTATTACACGGGACTGGCACAAGGGCTTGCTCCAAGTAGATCCCAATTTGGCTGCAGAAACTGCACATTTTCTACTCTTGGGGCCAGGGTCCGGACCTTTATCCTGAGCTTTAGTCTGCAAAATAACAGCAGAAAAGAAAAAAAAGGACCCCAAGCCCCCAAAGATCTTAACAGACAACACACCCTATGCTCTAGCAAAAAGGAGGAAAGGGGCTTTGTCAGAAACAGCCAACCACCCAGAGAGCTGTATGTGACAGGACAACAACCTACACAGGCATACATCTTGTGGCCCCCTCCCCATTGCTTTTACCTGTGAGAAGCTGGTGCTTGCTTGCCT